TTTTCTTTGTTGATCAGTTTTATCTGGAATTCTTCTGTATCATTAACCCCTAGCTGTTTTGTCTAATGCATTTTTCTAGTTAGATGTAGTTTGAGCATGTAGTTCTTTTTTAGCAGTTTATGATCTGATCCACAGTATGCTTCAGGCATAGCTTTACATTTATTACTAAGATTTTCCATCTTTCCCGCACGAGTATGTAGTCGATTTTTATGTTCTTTATTTGGACTAGCCCTTGTTTAAGAGCCTTCTTGGGTGGTGTTTATAAAGTATATTTTATTAGACTAGACTAGAAATGTGGTTCATTTTCAGTTTTTCCCACCTTGGCGTTACAGTCTACAATAGTATATAGTGGCTCTTTTTGTGGAATTTTCTTCATGGTGTTTTCTATGTTGCTGTAAATTTCGTTGTTGCTTGTTTTCTATGTTGCTGTAAAATTTTTTTTTTGTTTTCTTCATCTAGGACATCTGTTGCGGGCATATATACCAGAATGACATGCAAATTTTGGACATGTACGAACGCATCACTTTATTGCCCCCCATAAAGATATTAGACCTCCTGAGATATAGCAAAGTGATCCTTTGGAGATAGGTAAGCTCATCATCGCAGATAGGTAAACTCATCAGCAGCATTTTGCCTCAAAGAGCTGGTTTTTAATGCAAAAGATTGCCTATTATCTATTACACTTCTTGTTTATTTTTTTAATCTTGTGAGATAGAGAAATTTTTATTTTCGCATGGTTTTAGGTCTTCCCTTGCGTTAGGAATTCCACAATACGAGTATTAAATGCAAATGCATTGCATTTGCATTTAATATATCTGCACTTTGATTGAACTGAACACGGAAACAGTGAGAGAAATAAAAGAACAACACCTGAAGAAAGACATAGAGAAACGCAAATCGTGGATGACCGATGAAATACTTGAGCTTATGGATCAGAGGGAAAAAAATCTCCAAGAATATAAGAGAATACATATCATCGTCAGAAGAAAAATGAGAGAAGCCAAAGAGAAACAAAAAACAGAACAATGTCAAGAAATAGAAGAGTATCAGAGTCGATATGATAACTTCAATGTTCATCGAAAGGTGAAGGAAATAGCTGGAAAGTTTTGAAAACGCAACAGCGGAGAAATAAACAGATAATGAAGGCAATCTTGCCATAACTAAAGAAGATAAAAAAAAAGTATGGGAAGAATACTTGGGGAAACTTTTCCAAAGAAAATTTAGGTCCCGAAATCCTACCAAAATAAATAACGTCGGCCATCAGACAAATGAAGGATGAAAGACACCGGGACTTGATAAAACTCCTGCAGAACTGCTGAAGCTATTAGATACAGAACAAATAAAAATAATAACCGATATATTTAATGAAATATACAAGGCAGGAAAAATAACAGTAGAGTGGCTCAAATAAGAGTTCGTACCATTGCCCAAAAAACCAGGAGCAAAAGTTTGTGAAGATTATAGGACAATAAGCCTAATGAGCCATCTGCTGAAGCTGTTTTTAAAGGTCACCCACAAAAGAATTTACCGGAAATGCGAGGAACAAATTGCGCCCAATCAGTTTCGATTTGTGAACGCCGTTGGTACGAGGGAAGCTTTATTTAGCGTGCAGATCTTGTTTCGGAAATGTAGGGATGTCAGCTGTAATGTTTTTGCATGCATGATTGATTACACGAAGGCTTTCGATAGAGTCAGGCATGAACAAATGATGGAAGTGCTGAAGAGGACAGGGATTGATAGAAGGGACTTAAAAATTATAGCTAATCTGTATTGGAATCAATCAGCGGTACTCCGAATAGATGGAGAATATCAGATCAGGTAAAAATCTTAAAGGGGAGTGAGACAGGGGTGCATAATTTAACCACTGATAATCAATCTGTACTCGGAGCACATTTTTTAAGAGACCCTAAAAGATATTGATAAAGGCATCTCAATAAATGGAGTCAAGCTCAATAACCTGCGGTATGCAGATGATACAATAGTGTTTTGGAATAAACAAAACCAAAACCAAAAAACAAAACCAAATAGGACATTTGAAATAAACAATGGACTAAAACAGGGAGATGCACTTTCACCACAACTCTTTAACTTAGCTCTGGAGCACATAATCAGAAGTGCAAGAATCGAAAAACCGAATACAGTATTTCATCGAGAAGGACCAAACTTACTACTGGCATTTGCAGACGATATAGATCTAATCGGAAACACGCGATTAAGGATGAAGGAGACTTTCGTAAGGTTTGAGAAGGAAGCAGAGAAGATGGGGCTCCAAATCAACGAAAACAAGACGAAATATATGTATATGAGCCGCAATAACCAAAGCAGAGACAGAATCGGTCAGAACATTACCATCGATGACTTTAACTTTGAGCGCGTTAGAGAATTCAAGTATCTTGGAACAACAATAACTGAAGACAATAACGGATCACAAGAAATAAACAACAGGATTCAGACCGGCAACAGATGTATTTTTGCCCTCCAAAACCTTATAAAATCAAAACAACTAACACGACGTACGAAGATACAGTCTATAAAACAATCATACGACCCGTTGTGATGTATGGAAGCGAAACGTGGACGATAACAAAGGCAAATGAAGAGAGACTACGTGTTTGGAAAGAAAAATCCTAAGGAAGATCTTTGGTCCGGTGCTTGATGAAGCATCAGGACAATATAGGATAAGAACTAATAAAGAGCTTGAAGAACTTTACCCAGATGCCAACATCATAAAAGAAATACAGTCCAGAAGACTCCAATGGGCAGGACACCTCAGAAGACATTCTGACGAACGAACAGTAAGACTGGTGTGGGAGGAAGTCCCAACTGGAAGGAGACCACGCGGACGCCCTCGTCTCCGGTGGCGAGATAATATAGCAGGAGACCTAAGCACTATGGGCGTGGTGAATTGGATGGAGGTTGCTAAAGAGAGAAAACAATGGAGGCATGTTGTCGAGTCGGCTAAAACCCACGAAGGGTTGTAACGCCACGGAGTAAGTAAGTAAGTAAAACCAAGCTAATGATCATCAGCAAGCAAAACATAACTGGAGCAAATCTGTATGTGAACCAAAGGAGAATTGAACGTGTCTCACAATATAATTACTTGGAAATTATAATCAATGAGTCGTGAGACAATACCCAAGAGATTAAATGTCGCCTCGGAAAGGCCAAAAGTGCATTCTTGACTATGAGCTCTGTGTTTAAAAGCCATGACCTCACCCTGAAAACAAAAATAAGGCTCCTTAAATGTTACGTGTACTCAGTGCTTCTGTATGGAGTAGAAACGTGGACATTGAAGGCGGAAACTCTATCAAAACTTCAGGCTTTTGAATTATGGTTATACAGAAGAATGCAAAAGATACCATGGACAGAAAAAGTCACCAATGAAGAAGTACTGTGGAGGATGAACACAACCGCGGATTTGGTCAACATTGTGAAGAGCCGTAAGCTGGAGTACTTGGGACATATAATGAGAAATCAAGGCAGATACGATCTACTCCAATGTATTTTGCAGGGTAAAATTGGAGGAAAAGAGCACCAGGACGAAGAAGAATATCCTGGCTTGCTAACCTAAGAGCATGGTATAGAAAGACCTTAACACAGCTATTTCGTATAGCAACCAATAAAATCATCATAGCCAGAATGATCGCCAACGTTCGGAACGGACAGGCACCCTAAGAAGAAGAAGAAGCACTTTGATTATTTTTTTAAATTATCAAACCTTAGCGGTTTGTAAACAGTTTATGGTCTCTACCTGCAACGGGGTACAGGTAGGCCAGTAATCAGTTTGCAAATCTCTCCGGGTCTATCGTAAAATCCCTGGTTATATTGCGTTACTGAGTTTGTAATATCTTCGAGGGTATTTATGCTAATTGGTGATGAGTTTACTTGTATCCGACATTTTCTGGATTTGCTTCTAATGTTATTTTTATGAGTCTATCGTTGATTTTTTTATATTATCTCAACATTTCATTATTTATAAGTACGACTACTCATATGTACCTACATAATATGTATCTACATACTCCTGATATGTCGATAGTGTGGTTTTTTGTTTTAAAATGTCCTGGATCTCTCCAGTGTGTTTCTGCTAGACCACATAAATATGTTTATATTTTGTCTAATTAGCTCTTTCTATACTATGTGATGCTATTTTAGTTTGGAGAAGACTTCTGACGAAAAAAAATCTATAGGTCCTTAATTTCTTTCTTTTTAATTTAAAGTTTTATACACACATTCAGTAAAGTTTTGTATTTCTATATATGGACGAGAAATATATTTTATCATTTTGTTGAATACAGTTATATTCAGAATTAAATAATAAAATGTCAATTTAGATGATAGACATTTTTGGTTGTTAGTTTATAAATAATATGTACTTATCAAACGGTAAGATAATGTTGTTCTGAAGTTATTTTCTTGTGGCATTTTAAAGTAATAATCATTAATTAAATACTAACGTTTGTATTTTGAAAACGATTTCCGAAGTGGAAATTGAAACGTCAATAAATTTTAACCTTTAATTGTGGTTTATTTCCAATTATTATTACGTTAAGATAATGGTTGGTCGTTACCAAACTAGCTGACTCGGCGAATTTCCTACAGCCTTAGAATAGATGTTCTGTTAAATTATTAGCTGGGTTATATTATTAACTTTTATATATTAAGATTAAATTAATAAAGTTCGGTAAAAGTTCAAAAAGGAGCTAATTCACGTGGTAACTAAGTAATCATTTGCCGAATGGGTTGTGTTGTCTTTTGATTTGTTTATCATCATTGCGAATACAAGACGAATCGGATATTCAATTCAGTTAAATTGTTAAATATATTCATAAAAATACCACAAGAAAATAGCTTCAGAACCATTATAAATTATCGTTTTTGAACCATCTGAACTTTCATTTACATCCTGTCCAAATTTAGATAAAATTGTAGTAAATTGAAATGTATTCCATTAGAATTACAATGTAACCTTTTTATCTAATAAATACCTAATGTTTCAGGTTAGGAATAGAACTCTCACATCTGGGGCCATGTAACAACATAAGCGCACATAGAGAAAATTGCCCTGTCGATTGCAAACAAGCTCCTTTGGATGGACCTATTTGCGGTAGTGATGGAAACGTTTATAAGAGCACTTGTCAGATGAAGATTTTAACTTGTGGGTAAGGTTCAATATTAAATTATTTTGTACCCGTTTCCAGGATTTTTTGCCATTATTCTCATAATGTAATGGGGATACTTCGTCTTTAGGAATAAGATAAACTAGAGTAGAATAAAATAAACTAGACAAGCTTTAAATTAACACTAGCGGTATTGTCAATAAAATAATAAACGAAATAATAGTCACGAAAGGACCAATTTCAGCCGAAGTAAGCGACCCAATTTGTTTCTTTCCTTTTAGGCTATTACATAAGGAACTTTACTTTGGACGATAGATCAACTTATTTCGTCAACATTATATGACCTGTTAAGAGGATAGTTGTGATTTTGGAAAATGATGTCGACCAGGTTAAAAAACTTGTCTACTTCTTCTTTACAAAATCCCCTAGCACTGGCAAAGGATGTACCCATCGGTTTATGATGATTCGGGTTCTTTTTTATGAAAGGGTTAAAAATAGTCTTTTCATTTTCTATTCATTTTCTTTCTTTTCTGAAAGAATCAGTGTGAATGGTCAACCAATAGAAAGAATAAAAACATACACCTATCCTGGTACGAACGTCAATGAAAATTGGGACCATTCCCTAGAAATAAAATCTAGAATAGAGAAAGCAAGATCTGCATTTCAAAAAATGGCTAAGCTATTCAAATGCCACGATTTATCAGTACCTATAAAAATCAGGTTACTACGATGTTATACCTTTCCTATACTGTTGTGCGGAGTTGAATCGTGGACTCTCACAGACGCTACCTGTAAGAAAATTGAGGCATTCGAAATGTGGCTTTATCGTAGAATCCCAAAGATATCCTATACCGAGCACGTTACTAACCAGGACGTTTTATTAAGAATGCAAAAGGGAAAAGAGTTGTTAACAACAATAAAAACAGCCAAAATTGAATACCTCGAAGACACATGAGAAACAACGGAAGATATGGGTTGCTGCAATTAACTCTTCGAGAAAAAGTAGAAGGAAAACGAGGATCAGGAAGGCGAAGAATTTCCTGGCTGAAAAATCTACGTACGTGGTTCAACACAACAACCACAAATCTTCTCAGAGCCGCAGTTTGCAAAACACAGATTGCCATGATGGTCGCCAACATCCGAAACGGATAGGGACTACAAGACGAAGGTATAATCAATAACAAAGGAGAACTAGAACCTTAGCGGTAAAAAATTTATTGGAGATAACTAAAGTATAATAATTAGTATAATAATAAATAATCCCTATAAGAATTAGAAATATGCTTTATTGTCACTGAAAATTGTACACTTTTATGGACAAAGCTTATATAAGCTCAGAAAATAACAATAACAATTACACTTTACTGAAATTATATAAATCTTCAATATCACAAAGTAAAACATAGTAAAACACACAACCCATTTCAAAATTTAAATAAATTGCAAATTGCATAATAGGTTGAAGCTACGAACGTTGAGCTTACGAACGATAAGTTGAAGTTGCTGCATAAGATACCCAAATATAGTTAAACATACTTTAGTTACTTGAACACAAAGGTATTGTAATTTCTTAGCTATTCATTAAGAAACTCTTCTACTGAATAATGTGGTCTTTCAGACATACAGGCTTCTGTCATTTTACGAAACTTAAGGCAATATGTTGCAGATTTAAGTTGTAAAGGGAGATGGTTGTGTATTTTTTTTTGCAGAATATAACATAGATTTTTTTACTAAATCTGTGGACGGGATCGGTAGATACAAATCAAAGCTTGAATTTCTGGTGGAGTAGTCATGATTAGGTCTTGCTGGAAAAATATGAAGGTGTTTATATAGTATTGCTCTTTTTTGTAATATAAAAATAACATCAGATAGCTGTACTAGAACCACAAAAAGACGATATCGAAGATTAGACTGGAACAAAGAAAAATATGTTATTTTGAAAGATACTAAATTAATTTCTTTCTAAAGAGATATTATCACATAGCCGTGCTTACTAAAAAATCGATATGAACGAACCATTTAAGGTTACTGTCTATAGAAATAACAATAAATTTTATAGAATCAACGATACTGACCTGGCTGTTATTAAGGAGCAAGGGTTCAAGAATTCCTTTATAGGATAATGCTACTGTCTTATTAAGGGGGTAGGGTTCATTTTCAATGTTTTAAACATATTTTTACACAAGATTTTTTTTCAAAAATTGTTTAATATAAATTTTTTTATACTATTAGTATATTATAGTACAACATTTCAAGAGTATTATCTGGAATATTGGTGCAAAAATATTAAAACTTAAGAAAATGGCAACTAATTTTCCAAAATGAAAAAAAAAGTTACTTTGCGGTGTTCATCGTAACTTATAACTGGATCATCTGTTGACAAAAAAAAAACAAAAATATTTCGTTAGTTTATGAGTATCCCTAGGTGGCAACGTTAAGATATTGTTCATTTTATCGTTTTTTTTTTTTTTATTTTAGAAGTAAAAAAGGCAAATTTTTTGATTTTTAGAAAAATTTTTGTTAAAATTTTGACTAATTTCATGTAAAATTAATTGCAACAATAAAATGGACAATATCTCGACGTTGCGGCCTAGTAATTTATCTGTAAAAAAAAGTGTACAAAATTTAAGAAGAATCGATAAAGTAGTTTTTGAGATACAGCGAACATCAACTTGAACAAATTATTATATAGTACCGTCTATTCTAGGCCCATATAGCGAAGTAGTGCCTGCTAAAATATTAAGAGCATATTTTTGATCCTGCTTTCGAAAAACTCTGCCTTTTTTTGTTGCATCCCTTACAGCCCTTTTTGTTCGGCCTAGTCTTCTTTGTCAACAATTTTTCATCCACTCCTGAATGTAGGTCTCTTCCAATTGCTTCCATCTCTCTATCTTGCGCCAATCTAATCCACTGTTTGCCTGCCACTGCTCTTATGTCATCTACCCATCTTTTTTGAGGTCTTCCCATGCTTCTTGTTGTCGTCCTTGGTCTCCATTCTAGAATTCTCCGTGTCCATCTGTTGTCATTATATCGGACTACGTGACCTGCCCAGCGCCATTTCATTTTTGTAATTTCTTCCACAATATCCCTAATCTTCGTTCTACGTCTTATCTCGGTGTTTCTAATCTTGTCTCTTAGTGATATTCCAAGCATGATTCGTTCCATTGCTCTTTGCGTTGTTTCTAATTTTTTGGCAGATTTTTTGGTAAGTGCGACTGTCTCCAAGCCGTAGGTACAAACAGGTAGTATGCATATGTTATACACCTTTTTCTTTAAGTTTATAGGAATGGAGGTGTTTTTCAAGATATGTGCTAGTTTGCCGAAAGCGCCCCAAGCCAGTTGTGTTCTTCTTTTAATTTCAGGATCTTGATTTGGTTTTCCTAGTTTGATAACATGACCTAGATATACATAATGTTCCACATTGTCTATGGTATGATTTTGTATTGTTATATTTGTCTGGTCTCGGCTCAGTATTTTTGTTTTGCTGTAATTCATTTTTAAGCCTACCGCTCCTGAAACTGCATTTAATTGTTGTAACATATCATTTAGTTCTTGGATATTATCGGCTATTAAAACTATGTCATCTGCGAATCTCAAGTGGTTTAAGTATGATCCGTCGACGTTGATACCCTTATTGTTCCATTCTAGTTTCTTAAAAATATCTTCTAGAGCAAAGGTAAATAGTTTCGGAGAGATAGTGTCTCGTTGTCTTACTCCCCGTTGTAGTCTTATGGGATTAGTTTTTGTGCTTTCGTCCAGCTTTATATGCATGGTGGCATTTTCATATGTTTTTAATTATGTTAATGTATCTTGAATCTATGCGTGCATTTTCTACAGATTCAAGCACTTTCCATAATTCGATGGAATCGAATGCTTTATGGAAATCGACGAACGCCATATGAATTGGAACATTATACTCGGTGCATTTTTCTATCAGTGTTCTTACGGTGTGCAAGTGGTCTATGGTATTAAAATATTTTCTGAATTAAGCCTGCTCGATAGGTTGATAGAAATGGAGCTTATGTGTTAGGCGGTTGGTTATGATTTTAGTTAGTAATTTATACAGATGTGATAGCAAGAATATTGGTCGGTAATTCTCCATGTTTGCTCTGTTTCCTTTCTTGAATAGTAAAATGACCTCGGAGTTGTACCATTCTTGAGAAACCTTTCCTTCATCAATTACTTTATTAAATAAAACATTTAATACCTGTTCCATTTTTCTGCCACCAATTTTCAACATTTTAACTGTAATCTTATCCTCTCCCGGACATTTATTATTGTCGTGTTAATTATTGTTCGTTGAGTACGTCGTTGTTGTGGTTGTGTATTTACCGAGTATAGTTAAGTGTAGAATTTTTCAATGGCCTCGCTTATTTCCTTTCTGTCTCTGACGGTAACGTTTTTCTCATTTTTTATTTCTATGATTTTTGTTGTGCCGCTTGAGTTTTTTGCTTTGAGTACTTTCATGTTGCAGTTGTCTTGTATTATATTTTTTATTAGATTGTTATTATAGTTTCTATGATCGTTCCTGATTTCTTTCTTCACATTATTGTTTAAACTTTTAAAGCTGTCCGAAATTCGATCTGTTCTGTTTCGTCTTTCTTGGAGTGGTTTAATTCTAAGTTTAGATGTTTTGGCTGTTTTCGTGTTTGAGCATATTTTCTTAACCGATGTTGTTACAGTTACTTTTATTTTAGTGGCTAGTCCGTTTATATCCATTTGTTTCAGTATCTCTATTGATTTTAGTCTTGTGCTTAGGTCTTTTTGGTTTTTCGTTTGTTTTTGAAACAGGACATCGGTGGTTGGGTATCGTTCTCGTTTAATAAGTTTGCTTCGTTCTACTCTCGTCTGTATTTTAATGTTCGCTCTAACCAATCTATGGTCACTCCCGGTATAGAATTTGTTTAGTACTGTCACGTCGGTGCATATATATGTTTTTGTTATTGGAGAGTATGTAGTCTATTTCGATCTTAGTTTTCTTGTCTGGGCTGAGTTTTCTTGTTCGGCCTAGTAATTCGATTATATTCTGTTACCTGTCATTG